ATGCCTTCCCCTCAAAAAGAAAAAAAAATGCTGGGTGTGGTGATTGAGACCCTGCCTCAACAAAACAACAATGACAAAAGCAGGAGAGGCATAATGTTGGGAGGTAGAAAAGAGGTATATTATATTCATGTGTGAATATGTTATAGTGAAATCCATTCTGTTGCACAATTAATATACACATAAAACCAGTAAAAAATTTAGAAAGTTAGACCAAGAGTCTTATAATTTAGGGAAAATGGAAGAAAGCATGTTGCTTTTTATAAACAAATTTTTTAGATTCCTACATTCTTAGGGCTGGGGAGATGGCTCAGCGGTTAAAGAGCACCGTCTGCTCTTGCAGAAGACCTAGATTTGATTCCCAGCACCCACATGGTGGCTAAGAACTGTCCTTAGCTCCAGTTTAAGGGGATCCAGTACCTTTTTCTGACCTCTGTGGGCATTGGACACATTTGGTGCACTTACACACATAACCTAAAAATAATAAATAAAGCCCAGCATGATGGGCCACGCCTTTAATCCCATCACTTGGGAGGCTGAGGCAGGTGGATTTCTGAGTTCAAGGCCAGCCTGGTCCACATAGTGAGTTCCAGGCCACTGGGACTACAGGGAGACACCGTCTCAAAAAGATGGAAAAAAAATAAATAAATAAATAAAAGAAAGGGAAAAATAAAAAACAAATTGGGGCTGGAGAGATGGCTCAGTGGTTAAGAGGTCCTCTGGTCTTGCAGAGGACCCGGGACCCAGCACCCATATGGCAGCTAACAACGGTCTGTAATTCCAGTTCCAGGGGATCTGATGCATTCAAAGAAAGGGAAAAATAAAAAACAAATAAAATATTTTAAAAATTATTTTTTAAAAATTCCTACATTCTTAAAAGGCAAAAATTTGGCTATATAGAAACTATCCTGCCTGCTTTACTTAATAGGTTGAGTCCCCTTTCTCTCTATGATATGGTAAATGGTGAGAGTTCTTAGTGTTTTACAAACTGCCAGGTAGGTCTACACCAGCACAGGCCATGTGGATTTTCTTAACCTTTGTCCAACCATCAGCCTTGACATTTTCCATTTAATCAAGATCTTGGGGTACAGTTCAGTTTGAAATAAGCATCTCTGTTAATGGTCTTCTGTCCTGACTGACTATAGGAGCCTGGACCTGATTTAGCTCTAAGACTTGTTACCCTGATCCATGTGGGGGCATGGAGCCTGTGCAAGAGAAACAATTCATACCTACATTGCAGTGATAATGGTAGACAGCTTTAGGATGACACATCCTACTAGGTTTGTTTTGATCTCATGGTTAAATCCTTCACACCTACAGATAGATCCTTTAGGTGCTTAATCACATGGTCTAACTGTTAGGCGTAGTAACCCTTGCTTTGCTTTGCTTTATCATTATGGTCGTAAGTGTTGAGAATCTGGACTGGCTTGTGGCTTGTCTCCAGCCCTGGCTGGAGAGGTCATCTTGCTGTAGCACTGATCCCATCTTGTGGCAGTTATCTCACATTGCAGCATCATGACTTGCTTCTAGAAGACTGACTTGTCCTGTGAGGTGGGCACTATACATTAAAATGCCTTCAGAATATAAGAAAATTCTGGATGAGGGGAACACTCATCGACCCTTTGGACAAAAAAGGCAAGATCTGTTATAAACATTATATGAATATATATCTATTTTAGAGTTTATTTAACATCTTTTTAAAAATATTTATTATTTTTATGTTTATGAGTATTACCTACATGTATTTAAGTGCACCCATGCCGTACAATGCCTGTGGAGGTCAGAAGAGGGAGCTGGATCTCCTGGAACTAGAGTTATGGATGGTTGTTCACCACCATGTGGGTGCTGGGGATCCAACCAAGGTCTTCTGCAAGAGCAACCAGTGCTTTTCACCACTGAGTCATCTCTCCAGCCCCTATTTGACATCTTTTAACTTTGTGATGCCTAGGCTGTCATTTCTGGTCTTTGACTATCAGTCAGTGAAGGAAACACCCACTTCCCCACTTCATTCAGTGGAGCATCTCTCACTGTTTTATCTAAAGGGGTTTTGCATGTTTTTTCCACAGTAGATGGAATGGAAGGAACCATATTTTGTACAGTCAGGAGAATACACCACTCTAGATTCTGTCCAGAACCAGCCTCTGGACTCCAAAGCAGAAATTTTTGGTCTTCCTGCTCTTAAGAGGTGCAAAATCTATAGCTGAATGAACTGAAACTATTTATTTATTTATTTATTTTTATTTTATGTGTATTAGTGTTAAGCCTACATGTATGTAAGTGGATCCCCTTGGAACTAGAGTTGCCATGTAGGTACTGGGAATTGTCCTCTGGAAGAACAGCAAATGTTCTTAACCACTGAGCCATCTCTCCAGCTCCCCTTAATAAACTTTTAAGTCATTCAAAATACCAGCAAAATAAGTATCTACTTGGACTATATATAAAGCAATTATGAATATAAATAGAAAATCTGTAATTTATGCTACTACTTTCCCCGATTCTAACCAGTTAAAGGATACGTCATAGTTTTAATGAAGAAAAGAAAGGTAAAAGGTGCTACATTACATGTGTGGACTACAAGACAAAATCTGATACTCCAAAAATTAATTGCAAATTATGTATCTTTAAAAACTTTATTTTAAAAATATGCATCTTAGAGTTTAGGAATTATAGACTGGGTATGGTGGTGCATACCTGTAATCCTGGCACTAAGCAGGGCAGAGGAAGGAGGATCAGGAGTTGAAGGTCAGCCTAGGTCATATAAGACCCTATCTCCCTTGCCAAAAAAATTTAGGGGGAGAAGGGAGGGGAGGGGAATAGAGAACACCTTTAAGTTTTTGATGCCATATATATATATACATATATATATACACACATATATATACATTTTTTTAAGTAAGCACTCAAAATTCTACATTTAAAATAGATAATGGTGGGCTAAAGAGATGACTCAGAGGTTAAGATCACTTGCTGCTTTTGCAGAAGACCTGGGTTTAGTTCCCAGCATCCACATGGTGCTCACTCCAGCTCTAGAGGATCCAACACCCTCTTCTGGCTTCTGCAGGCACCCTCCACAAAGGTGACATACACATAAAAAAGTAAATCTTTGAAATTGATAATGGCACAACTTAATGCATTGCAAGAAAATATAAAATGTGATACAAAGATCAGAGACATAGTGGCCAGTATAGATTGGATGGCAAGTTTCATGGTTTATCTGAGTACTGAAGAACATTTGTAGATGATATAAACGTGCAGTCTCTGATAAATCATCATAATGAGGATTTGGAACATTTGAGTCCATTAAAATGTTTTTACAGAATTGCGTATGTTTTTTGAAAATATGGAGCAGTGCTTTATGGGTAAGGCTCTATTGGATTGGATTGCAGGAAATAGGCTCCCACTCAAGTTAGTCTGAACAATTACTAGAAAGCTAATAAATGCTAATAAAGGCAGGCAATGAAGTGCCATCGAGCCTCAGGGCAGTTTGAATGGCTCCAGTGGATTCTGAATCTTCTTTCTCAGATGCCTAAAATTTCTATATTAACTGCTTAGTTGATTTCTGTCAATTTTGTAGGTGGCTGCTAGCCAGTACTGTATCACAACCTCAAGTTCCCATTCTGATGACTTCCCTCTGTGTTTACTTCCCTCCAATTAGTGAGTACCTTTGTGCACAGAATAGCACAGAGGTGATATTTTTTGCCACACAGGTTCAATGGACAGGACATTTTAGCTAAATGAAATTGTACAAGCCAGGCAAATGAACTGTGTATTCATAGAACTGCTTTTCAAAAAACCTTCAGCTTTGACTACTTCACCCTGAGTTGTCTATTGAATCCGCTTAACAAGGCATTATACACCTTAGACAATGTTTTGGGAGTGAGGTGAGGGTTAGGAGCTCTAAGAATTTGTGGAACTTTGAAGTTTCACAAATTTATAGCATTGGAGAATTCCTGTTAGAGTCACATAAATGTCTGTTAATGAATTGTGAACTTCCTTTGGAGAAAGGTTAATAGGGTGTTGATAAGTAAGTCCTCATGTCCCCAGTGGAACAGCACACTCATACTGTGTGGTATCTCCTCAACAGCCCACGGGGTGGGAAGGTGGAGGAGTCCTCAGGGTTTCCTGTTAGATTTAAATAGGAGATAGAGTTATACAGCATGGAGAACAAAGGAAAAGGAGATTTCTGAAATAAATTGATAACTATTTATGCTAGAAACACAAATAATTTTCTAGCCTCTCTGATATGAAAGAAAGAGTATTGAACTTACATTTTTGGGAAAAGATTTGTTTATTTTAAGCCTGGTGTAGTGACACACATTTTTAATGTCAATAACCAGAGGTAGAGGCAGGCAAATCTCTTTGAGATCCAGGCCAGTTGGGGCTACAGGGAGACCCTGAAGGCCTAGAGAGATGGCTCAAAGGTTAAGAGCACTGGTAGCTCCTGCAAAGGACTGGGGTTCAGCTCTCAAGACTGTCATGGTAGCTAATAACCATCCATAACTCCAGTGCCAGGAAATCTGATGCCCTCTGAGGGCATTGCATGATATGGGTCCACTTATATACACATAAAATACAAATTATGTTTTTATTTTATGTGTCACAGGTTTGCTTGATGCCTTTGGAAACCAGAAGAGGACATTGGATCCCATGATACTCAAGTTATAGATGTTAGCAGCCATGTGGTTCTGGGAACCAAACCCAGGTCCTCTGCAAGAGGCAGCCAGTGTTCTTAACCACAAAGCCATCTCTCCAACCTCTGAGCTTACATTAGAAAAAAAAAAAATCTTGTAGTTTCCTTAGAAGATAATCATTGTTCTTCCTTGATTCTGAGATATGTGTTCAGGAGTATTTCTTTGGTTCTGCTGTGAGTTCTAAGAGTGTAAGAATACTGTCTAGGCCAGGCCATCCTTGAGGACTGGCTAACAGTAGCCTCAGCAGCAGACTTAATACCTGACTGACTTTGACATGATTCAAAAGAGCTTCTCTGTGTATTCTTTTCACAGGTGGATTTGCTCTCGTCTTTCTGGTGAGGACAAGCAATGGGGTGAAATGTGCCTTGAAACGCATGTTTGTCAACAATGAGCATGACCTCCAGGTGTGCAAGAGGGAAATCCAGATCATGGTAAGGCTGTCTGGAACTTCGCCTACTTCTTAAGATGAATGTATACTGTGTGGTCCTAGGAGAGCCATTAGGCATGTGCTCGTACCCTTCCCTGAGCTGGCACAGAGCCCTTTGCACAAGGTGGGAACAGTAGCCAGGAAGCATATCTTGCTTGGTTACCCTTGGCTGGAGACTGAGGAGAAAGGAGTACATTACGGGGAACTGACCAGTGTTTAGATTAAAGAAATAATTTGGGACATTGGGAAAATACTTAATTTGGAAACCCCAGCCCTTCAGTGAGCTGCCCTCCAGTCTGACTTCCATCAGCTCCAGTCCCTTGTCCTGCTCCAACCCACTGAGCCCTTTGCATCCAGTGAACATGTCCTAACACAGCTTTATGCTTTGTGAACATGTTCTTTCCAACTGGAGTTCCTTCCTGTGTTTTGGCCCCAGCTTTACTATCTCATAAAATTCCTGTGATTCCATTCCAAGAATGGAAGGCTGGAGAGGTGGCTAAGCAGTTAAGAGCACTGGCTACTCTTGCAGAAGACCTGGGTTCAGTTCCCAGCACCCACATTGTGGCTAAACAACGATCTGTAACTCCATTTCCAGGGGATTTGACACCCTCTTTTGACTTCTGTGAACACTGCATGACACGGGTGCACTTACACATATACATGCAAGCAATACACTCATACATATGAAATAAAAAGAACAAAATAGCTGGGCATGGTAGCACATGCCTTTAATCCCAACACTCAGGAGGCAGAGGCAGGCGGATCTCTGTGAGTTCAAGGCCAGCCTGGTCTACAAAGTGAATTCCAGGCCAGCTGGGGCTACAGAGAGACCTGTCTCAAAAAGACCAGGGGGGGAAAAAAAGAACAAAATATTTTTTAAAAATCCTTGAATAGGGGACTGGAGAGATGGCTCAGCGGTTAAGAACACTGACTGTTCTTGCAGGAGACCTGGGTTTGAATCCCAGCACCCACATGGCAGCTAACAGCTGTAACTCCAGTTCCAGGGGATCCAACAGCCCCTTCTGTCTTCTGTAGGCAGTGCATGACATGGGTGCACTTACCTACATGCAGGCAATGCACACGTACACATAAAATAAAAAATAATAAAAAAATATTAAAAATCCTTGAGCCAGGAGTGGTGGCACACACCTTTAATCCCAGCACTCAGGAGGCAGAGGCAGGCGGATCTCTGTGAGTTCAAGACCAGCCTGGTCTACATAGTGAGTTCCAGGACAGCTGAGGCTACAGGGAGACCCTGTCTCAAAAAGACCAAAAAAAAAAAAAATCCTTGAATAGACAGAATTCATTGTAGAGTTGGAAGTTAGAAAGTACTGATCTGGGCTGGAAAAGGCCAGAAAATGGTTATATTGGAACTTTCTGGGTTGTGGAAATATAGTTTGGGATAGTGATCACACAGGGGTGGGCATATAAGTGTTATAACTCAAATACATCAATATCCATGTGTTTTTAGCATGTTAATTATACCTTATTTAAAAATACTTATTAGGGGCTGAAGAGATGGTTCAGTGGTTAAGAGCACATGCTGTTCTTCTAGAGGACCCAAGTTCAATTCTCAGCACCCATGTCAGGAAGCTTGCAACACCTAACTCCAGCTCAAAGAGGCAGAGACAGAGAGAGGAGAAAGAGGGAAAGAAACAAGATCCAGAACATAGGTGGAGATGCCGTTGTGGAGATGCCACTGTTACAGAGTTCGAAAACACTGGGAAAAAGACCACTAGACTCAATTCAAATTTTAATTGGTCAAATTTATTAGGGCTATAGCCATCTGAGGTACCTTAGTCAGATTTAGGACCCAGGGCCCTGAGGGGAGGGTGGAACTAGCTTTTAAAGGCAAAACCCACAAATACCATAGGCATTTCATCACACATAAGTAATGCCAGGTGGTCCTGAATATGGTCAGGATGCCCAACTTAGCAGATAAGCAAACTACAGAAGGCAAAGCAAGCTTGTGTTAGTTCTTCTCTTAACGAGATATAGAGACCTTGGCAGTAAGGCACTTTCTGATTAGGTGACTGTGTCTGGGAAACCCAAGGTCAGCTGCTCCAAAGAAAACACTGTCCTAAGGGGAAGCAACTAAGTTCAGGTGCTTAACCTTGAAGCTGGCTATTTTTCTAACTTTTGAAATTTAAAGTGGCTGCTTGATACAAAATGAAGTTACTTAGGGTTTTACAATTTGAGGGGCTCCATTTGGGGCCGTAACACCACCAGGCTCCAGGCTTTTTTGTTTGTTCGGTTTTTTTTTTTTTTTTTTTTTTTGGCCCTTGTCTACTCCTTGTGGGATCACCCTGTCAAGGACTGCTCAGTTAGGCATTGAAAGAAGTCAGGACTTTAGAGAACCTAAAAGTATTTGGGAAGGAACTATTGTCACTACAGAACCAACCGGCCAACCCCCAAGGCTCAAGGCCACATGGTGGTCCCAGCCACCCTGCTTGTCCTGTCTCCAACACGTCAGAGGTTCCTGGGCATTTCTTATTCCTCTTCTTCCTCCTTTTCCTCTTACTCCGTTCTTACTCCTCTGTTCCATTCTTACTCAGCTGTCCACATTCTTGTTTTCTATCTCTGCTGCTGGTGTTTCTTCTGCTTGGAATACCCTTCCCATTCATTTTCTTGTGTTAGAAAAGCAATCCCAATTTTTCATGTTCTCCCACTCTTTTGGAAACACAAGGACTTGCTTTTGTGCTGGACAGGCATTGTAGTAGAGGAATCAAGAAGCATATGCCTAAGAGCTCAAAACTAATAGGTCCAATTAGTTTATTTACTTGGGATCAAGTTCCGGCCCAGTCATGCATTAACTGTGAGAGTTTGTTTTTTATTTAGTTTTTAATTTTTAAAAGCTTACTCAGCTAGGTGAACTGAGCTTGTTACTGAAAATATCAGGCAACACACCTCCACCTCCATGCAGTTCTCTGTGGGCACTGCATGCATATGGTACACTTACATACATGCAAGCAAAGCATTCTTTGGGTTTTATTTGGAGAGAGGGTCTTCTTGTAACCCCAGGAACTTGGCCTCGAACTTGCTATGAAGACCAAAGTGACCTTGATCTCACAGAGATCCACCTGCCTCTGCTTCACAAGTGCTGTAATTAAAGGCATGCCTCACTATACCCAGCCCAGTTTTAGTTCTTAATATTTTATTTTGGTTTTTAATTTTTGTGTGTGTGTTTGTGTTTGTATCAGTATGTGGTCAGAGGCATCAAATCCCCCCGGGGAAGTACAGGTGGTTGTGAGCCACTCAACATGGTTTCTGGGAGTGAACTCAGATTCTCTGGAACAGCCAGTGCTCTTAACCATTGAGTCATCTCTCCAGCCTGGCTCTGAACTTAATAGTTTTTCGTCACCTATGAATAATTACCCTGGAAGAGTTATAGAAGGAATTTAGGGTTATGATGAGATGGAGAGAAGAGTAAAGCAAAAACAAAACTAACCTTTTATCCAAACTAACCTTTTAGAAGTAAACTAATTCCGGGCCATAAAACTACTTTCCTTCATCTTTAAGAGGCTAAAAATAAGATTCATTCATTCAATTCAATTTTCTTTTAAAAATATTGTATTCATTAATTTTAAAATGTATGTATGAGTGATTTGCCTGCATGTATGTAAGTGCACCCATGTGTACTGTGCCTGCAGAGGCCAGAAGAAGGTGTTGGATTCCCTGGAACTAGAGTTATGGATGGTTGCTAACTGGCATGTGAGTGCTGGGAACTGAACCTGGGTCCTCTTCAAGAGCAGCCAGTGCTCTTAACCACTGAACCGTCTCTTAGCCCCCAAAATTTTATTAAGAAGGTCTTTTGGAGTTGGGCGCCATACACACACCTTTAGTCCCAGCACTTGGGAGGCAGAGGCGGGCAGATCTCTGTGAGATTGAGGCTAGCCTGACCTACAAAGTGAGTTCCAGGCCAGCTGGGGCTACAGGAAGACCCTGTCTCAAAAAGCCGAGAGAGAGAGAGAGAATGAGAATGAGAATTCTGATCTCTGTAGGCACCTGAGCTTAAATGCACAAACACAGACATACACATAACTAAAAACCTTTTTAAATAAATTTTTTTCAATTTTTAAAAAATTCTTATTTATTATTTTTATGTGTATGTGTATATTGCCTGGATGTATGTAAGTGTACCCATGTCATACAATACCCACGGAGGACAGAATAGGCTGTTGGACCCCCTGGAACTGGAGTTACAGACAGTTCTTAGCTGTCACGTGGGTGCTGGGATTCAAACCCGGGTCTTCTGCAAGAACATTCAGTGTTCTTAACTGCTGAGCCATCTTTCCTGCCCCTAAAAACCCTTTTTTAAAAAAGGAGCTTCCCTTCTGTTCTTCCTATATTTTGAACTGTGTAAATAGAACTAAGTTCTAGAAGGATTCATGGTAAGATGGAGAAATGGAGGGAGGTATAGGGCCTAAAATGCTTTCTGTGTTATAAAAAACTTTGAAGACTGGTTTTTGGCCTTTTATTTCCCTGAATTTTGACCCAAAGTAGATGTGCTAAGCCTTTTGCCTCATCAAGCTTCTTTCTCATCATGTATTTCAAAGTTGACTTTGTTCTCTACCAAAAGCAAAACCATAGCTCTGAGCCACTTAAATTCTTCTATTCTAAGGAGCCTAGCTTGTAGCACCCAGCCCTTCTCCTCCCTTTAACAGTCATTCTAATCTCCCTCTTGCTGTCTACCAACTCTCCTTGCCCTCTTCTGTATCTAAAGCTTTCACTCTCTAGTGCTAAGCTTTCCTGCTTCTGAAAATTCCTCCTTGGAGGCTGTTCCCTTATTAAACACAAATGTTCTGAAAGAGTAATCTGCAGACGCTGGCTCAGTTCAGTCTGTTCTCGCTTCCATCTCATCTCTTCTTACATAAGTTTCCAGAGACTTCTATGGGCAAGTTCCTACAGTTGTCTACCTTTCTTGGGGTCTGCAGTTTCTGAGTCAGCAGTTCTTCCCAATTCATTGTTCAGAGGATGCAGGTAGTGAGCTTTAACTTTGGTGCTCAGCATTCAGATGTGTTTACCTGATACTTGGGGGTTTCTTCCTGGTTCTATATATAATGTCATATTAAAATATACTTTATTTGTCATTTTACTTTGTTTTTGAGACAGGGTCTCCTTGTAGCCCCAGCTGTCCTGGAACTCACTATGTAGACCAGGCTGGCCTGAACTCACAAAGATCCGCCTGCCTCTGCCTCCCAAATGCTGGGATTAAAGGCCAGATAGCAATTCCATTGTCTTACTGAATCAGAGCACTCTCCAGAGCCTAAACTTGATACCAACACATATACTCACAAAACCATGTGTTTTCTGTTTTTTTCCTTTTTTTTTTTGGTCTTTTTGAGACAGGGTTTCCCTGTAGCCCCAGCTGACCTGAACTCACTATGTAGACCAGGCTGGCCTTGAACTCAAAAAGATCCGTCTGCCTCTGCCTCCCAAGTGCTGGGACTAAAGGCGTGCACTAGCACACCCGGCCTCCTGACCTTTTTAAATAAAAGTAAAGCAATTTATTTAAAACTAATTTAAAAATATCTTACCTTGCATGTGTATAAAACTCATAATGCCCAGTTTGCTCAGTTTACCTAACTTAATTCTTAATGGCCTTAGGTTTCTGTCCCTTCAAAGCTTGCAAGGCAGTTTTTCTTTCCATACATTCCCTAAAGGGGAAACCCTTAAAAAAGTCAAGTTGGTATGTACTCAGAAATGTGCCCACCTCCAAAGTGCTTTTGTATGAATTTGTATAGACCTAAGTAAAACTCTAACCATTCCTTTGTTCAGGAAAGATACTGCTTTGGAAACAACTCTGTGTACTCCTTACATGCTGCAGGTAGTAAATCATTCTCTACTCAACTTTTGCCCCGGTAGCCAGGAGAAAAATCAGTTCTTTTTTTCTGTATTAAAATTTTACATATATGAGTAGTTCACGCTGTTTTCCTCCTCTTAATTCCTCTGCAGTATATCTGGATGTGATAGGGGTCTTTGCTTCTGGTTCATGTGGAACACTGATGAGTGAGCAAGTGGGCATTCTATGTGAGCTTCATTCTGGAGGTTGGGCTCTGGGGAGAATTATGGTTCAGCAGGACAATGGAATTGCTATAGAGATCTGGCTGTGCATTTCAATGACCACTGGAAGTTCTTGACTGTTAGAGTTGTATGTATTTAAATCATCTGTGCTAATGGAACTGGCTAGTTCTGCCCCTTCCATGTCTATCACTGACACTATACCTCTCCACTCTTATTCACAGAGAGACCTATCAGGGCACAAGAACATTGTGGGCTACATTGATTCTAGTATCAACAATGTAAGCAGTGGTGATGTGTGGGAAGTTCTCATTCTCATGGACTTCTGTAGAGGTATGTATGTAGAGGTCAACTTTATGACCCTACTGAAGCTCTTGTTTCTAGCATGTTCATGGTCAAGGGTGTGGAGGTCACTTCACTTAATGTGTACATTGCACTCTGAAGATGTTGCTCTCGTTTCCCACATAGGAGAGCTAAAAGGCTAATGCAATCCCTGTCAGCTCTTGGTTATTCTCACAACCACAAAGGCTGTGGCACAAACAGTTGAAAGATATGGGTAATTCCAAATCCCATTTTTGTTAGGTGTAAGGTTTAGTTGTGTGTCTAAATGAAATCACATGAAAATGAGAATGAATGTGTTCTTTATAAGGGTTTAGAACAAATAATGAAGGAATATCATAAATGTCAATATGGATGGATTAGAGAAACTATGGCTTTCACTCTCCACTCACACCATCATCCTCTTGTGATGCTGCGAAAGAATCTTTTTTTTTCTAAGGAGTGACAGTGATTCTCTTCTCCTTGTTCTAAGGCTGTAATCCCCAGTAAGGCTACATTTAGGTGACAGTACTTTCAGATTTATGTATGTATGTATGTATGTATGTATGTATGTATGTATGTATTGATTGGTCTTTTTGAGACAGGGTCTCCCTGTAGCCCCAGCTGTCCTGGAACTCACTATGTAGACCAGGCTGGCCTTGAACTCAGAGGTCCATCTGCCTCTGCTTCCTGAGTGCTGGGATTAAAGGTGGCCAGCATGCCCGGCCTGCTTCCCGTTTTAAATAGTTGAAAACTTGAAGTTTCAACATTTATCTTGAGAAACCTAGACAGCACCCCATGTAGCTATTGTTTGAGGTTTGGAATTTTTGGCCTAAGCAGTTACCATTTACTAGTTTGGGTCATTGTCTTACTGTTCAATTCCCTGTTTTGTAATTCCTTTAGTTTCACTACCATTTTCTTGTCTTTAAAGATATTATCCAGAAATTAACAGTTTCTTATCCCCTAAATAGGATGTTAACCAATAATTTTGACCTTCATTAACTATTTACCTGATTTTATAAATTACTACCAAATTTGAACTTTACAGCTTATTGCCTTCTGACCATTACTTTTTTGCACAGGACCATGTTTCATATACCAGGGAGTAGGAGGGTTCCAGTTTGCATGTTTCTGTAAGATTGGTCTAGTCTTGTTTTCCTGGAGAGGGAGTGTTGCTATAGCACTTCCCACAGGCCAATCAGTAAGTGATGAAGCCAAAGAGACCAAACTTCTCCGGAGTACTCTTTAGAGCAGAGTACTGTGCCAGCTTCTTGTACCCTACGTGTGTTGTGCTGTGTGGTTTCTGCTAAAAGACGTGGCAGTTGGAGGCTGTAGCCTCATCTTCTACACCATGGGGATATTACAACCAGGCAGTGATGGCAGGACCATGTGTCAGCTCTGCTTCTACTTTTGAAGGCACAACGAGGGCAGCTCACATGTAGGTACTTTATGAAAACATTCTGGTTTTGATGCATCAGAAGAGGCATTGAGTTGTAAGAAAACAAATCCCAGCAGGGACTCCAGACCCCTGGGGTTTGGTGCTGGTTTGGTCAGTAATCAGCTCTAATTTAGTCCAGGTTGCTTTTCTTTGGATAGCCATTATTGCTTTGATCTAAGTGACAAGTCTGCCTGTTAATGTCCTTTCTCTTGTCCTATACCTGTCTTAGGAGGCCAGGTAGTAAATTTGATGAACCAGCGTCTGCAAACAGGCTTTACAGAGAATGAAGTGCTACAGATATTCTGTGATACCTGTGAAGCCGTTGCCCGCTTGCATCAGTGTAAAACTCCTATTATTCACCGGGACCTGAAGGTAACAGACAAACTGTTTCTGTGGAGTGTTATCTACTGAGTACTTTTGTCTGTCTAGGGAGGATGTAGGTACTAAGGGGATAGCAAAGAAGTTTAAGGGACAGCCCCTAATTCTGAACTTCTATTGAAGTTGGGGAGAGAAAATACAAAGAAGAAGCACAGCATAGGCATCAATTTTCTTAACCTCCAGAAATTCTTTTTAATTTTCAAATGCCTTTAACCTATGTGTATTTATTTATTTATTTTTACTGCATTCCCAAAATTTTTTCATGGTCATGAAAATTAATATGTTAATTTAAATAGTTTATGAATGGGGCTAGAGAGATGGAAGAGCACTTACTCTTCTTGCAGAGGACCTGGGTTTGGTTCCTAGCACTCTTATGGTAGCTAACTGTCCATAACTCCAGTTCCAGTGGATCTGTGCCCTCTTTTGGCCTCCACAGGCATTGCATGCAGGTGGTGCACTTAAATACATGCAGGCCAAACACTCATACACATAAAAGTAATATATAAAATTTAAAAGCTTATAAATGATGCTTACTCCAAAAGTCGTGTGTGTGTGTGTGTGTGTGTGTGTGTGTGTGTGTGTGTTCTTATTGTTGTTGTACTATGGATTGAACCCAGGGCCTTTCAACTGCTAGGTAAGTGCTAAACCAGCCCTCTTTCATATCTTGAAAAATTCACTAATTAATTTTATGTATAGTTGGTCCTGATTACTCTTACCTTACCCTATTCCTTGCATATTGTAGTCACATGGCAGTGTTTGTTGAATGGAGTTGGTACCTGGTTAGGGTTCAGCTTAGCATTTATTGAGCATCAACTACGTGCCAAATATTCTACTGAGCTTTATATTCACTTTCTTATTAGACATCCTCCCTTACATTTTACATTTAAACAAACTGAGTAGCAGGGAGGTTGTGTGTCTTGCCTAAGGTCATATAATTAGGAAACAGTATCAGAATTTGAATCCAGCTATTCTGTCTGAGATTTCACAATGTTCTCTGCCTCAGAACCACCATGTGGGAGATGGTAACAGAATTTTTAAGAGTATAGGAGACCTGCTTGATAGTGCAAAATAAAAAGGACACTTTTTAGATCCTGTCTTAATCTGCCTATAACCCTTGGGTCCTTTGGTACCCTCTCATCCCTGGACCTCTGAGGCATCATGTTCACCCCTGCCCCTCCTGCTGTCTCCTTGGCTTATTCCTTAGATTGCTTGGCCTCTCTGAGCTGCGCTTTCTTTCTCTAAAATGTAGGGAACAATATCTGCTGTGGAACTGTGTAATCTGGGGTACCCTGAATGGGGTATTCTTTTTCATAGCCAAAACTGAACTGAGGAAAGCCTGTCCTGTCCTGCCCACCATATGTGTGGCATCTTGATTTCAAGACATATAGGATGTGTGCTGAAAGTAGCCCATGTCCTCAAGCAACTTATGTCCTGAAAATAACCACAGTAGAAGTACTATGCTGTAGAATATCTCTTGTCAGACACATTATTATAACCCTGCAATTACATTCTCTCACTTTTAATTCTCATTTCTTTGAGGAAAGGTAAAAAGTCATTATTGTAAATCATGGAGTCAGATCTGGGAAGATCATCTACACCAGCCTTTAATTTTTACCAGTGCAGAATCCTTGCTAGAGAAAGCATGACTGCCCCACATAGCTAATCAAGTAAGCAAACCAGAACAAAGACAGAGAGGTTCTTTATTCCTGTTTCTGGTTTTTAAAATTTTATTTTAAAT